AGTGGGGGAGGAGAATGGGAGATGGCAGAGGGTAAGAGATAGGGAATCAAGGATGGGGGGAAAAAGCTAAGCATAAAGAAAACAAGAAATGGAAGATCATCTGCTGACAATAACATGTTTGTTGATGTGCTTGATTGAGACAATATACAGTGTACTCTGGATGGAAAATCTCATTTTGTATGTTGTAATAATATACAGTGAATGAATGCAAATAAATAAATTGAAATAAAAAATAGTAGAGCTTGTTTTATTTTACCAAAATTAAACATAAAGATATTTTAAAAGGACACTCTCACTAGCACTGCAAAGAAAAAAAAGATAAATTACATTTAAGATTTTATCTGAGTGTTTTTTAAAATTATTTTGACTGTATTATTTCATTTAATCTGATGGCTTAATAATTTGCTTATTAAAAATTGTGGAATGCAAAGATTAGAATTTGAGTACACAGTTTTAGGAAGCAGATTATGTTTGATGTATTTAGTCTAATTTGTTTTTATTATAATGCATCCATTTTAGACAATATGTCCCCCCATTTTAAAATTTTTTTTTCAATCTTTAGGCTTCGAATATAGATATGAAGATGTCATGGTTAAAAGAAATAAGAAATATTTTGCTGAAGCAACAGGAACTTATGGCAGGGGGAATATTCAAGCATGCAATCTTTGAAACAGCAAGTACAGTAATAGCTCATTGACAGATTTTGTAGTAATTTTTGCAGGGAATGTGACTGATATTTACCTTATCTTATTTATAACTAAAGGGTTTGTTGAGCTAATTAGCAAGAGATTGTGATTCAGAGGATTGTTTAGACTATTTTGGAGAATGAACTCTACACTAAAAAACTATTCATAGTGCTTGAAAAGCAGTACAGTGAACTGACTGTGATATTCCCAATCCTTCCCAAGAGGTGACTCTATGACCTTGAGTAATCAGTACTTGGTAATGTTGAGATGAGATTTGGTTCTAGTTCTAAACTTGGACTTCATAAACAAAATATTACATGGTTTGGACCTTTCCAAATTCTAACTTAAGCTAGCCTTCCCTCTGGTTATTTCAAGTCCATGAACATTATCTGGAATGTGAATGGGGTGTGTGTGTGTGTTAAAGTCACTGATCTTCAAAGAGGAAGGTGAGTGGCTTCTATATGATCCTTATATAAACTTTGTTTTACTTTACAGTTAAAAACCAAAAGCAACAGAATCAGTTAACAGAACAGGATCAATTTTGTCCTCAGCAGAATAATGAGTAAGTGATTATTCTCTGATAAATAGCTCCTGCAATCTTCTGTTTTTCATGTGAAATAGGAAAAAAAAAGTAATTAAATTTAAATGATCTCCTACACAAACTACCCACCATTTTAGCAATAACTCATTCCATTCCATAAACATACCATTTTCTCAGTTTTGAGAAAATTGAAGCCTGATAGTCCCTAAGAGTTGCATGTGGGCTGACAGTAAAGGTGTCATGGCTTTCTCTTCAACTATATCTGGTCACCTTCAGTCTGATTGGAGAAAGAGAATTGTGAGGACATGGGAGCAGAACAAACGGAGGACTCGCTCTCAGCTTTCTAGTCCCTTGATGGAGACCTCTTGCTGGTGACTTGGCCTCACTTTCTACATTGTTAGAGACAAAGTATGGATCCTAGGAGGGAACTGAACTTGGAAACGATCAAGAGGTCCTTAAGGAACATGGAAGCCCTATATGATAGTGCACTGCCGTTAGTTTAGAGATGTAGTCATTATATTTTGCCTCTAGGAATTTTAAAAGATAAAGTTTTCACAGAACACTTGTATATGTGCAGAAAAAGTCCCACACTGATTCTGAAGCTTTGGTTCAGAGATTCACCATATTGCTTCTACATGATGTAGGAATCATTGATTGACTTATTAAAAATCCTATTTTTAGGTGACTAAAATCAGGTGTAATATGTGGTAGTTCATCTGGGACTTTAGGAGAATCATCACAGTGGAAGTCTTTATTTTTTTGCCATAGTGTGTGTGTGCTCACCAGAGAGAGAGAGAAACAGAGAGAGGGAAAGTGACAAATCGCCCACTGAAAGGATGGCCATGCCACAATCCCTTCTCTATTCTCGGGACTTTGGGCACACATACACACACACCTGGTGTGATCTTCAAGCCGTTGGGTCTGAGACACGAACTGCAGTCAGCCATGTGGGAGTTCAGAGCCTTAGTCACTATGCCACCTGCTGGCTCCACAGTGGAAGCCTTTATCTTTCAGAGTTCACAATACTCAATCTCTTATCATATATTATAGGAGTAAAGTCTATAGGTTTCACACAGTAATTGATAGAATAGTGCCTGGTACAAATTCAACAGTATGAATGAGTTTAAAGTTTCATCTTCATTTATACACACTTTACCTAATTCATTAAGGTTAAATGTGTGCAGAACAACAGGGATTGTACACAACATACCTACCTTGGGTCTAGAAGGGAGTAATTTTCTCCTTGTCTAATAACGAGAAACTGTTGGCTTGGATACTAGGATTAAAGCTTTTATATATTTTATGAACTATTATCACACAGACTTAAATGGGGGGGAGTATCACCTGTTTGAATGGATTCTAAGAACTTAATTCATAACACAAGGTATTGGAGAAGAAGTGCTATTTTAATTTCTTATTACTCTGAGATTATACAAAGGTTCACTAATTTTTATACATTACTATTTTAGAAAGCAGCAGGGAACTTTTATAAGTGCTGAGGAAGCTGGAGCGGAACACACCAGTGCTATGGTGGAGGTCAGTGAGGCAATTGTGTCAGTTCAGGCAGAAGCTAATACAGGTAAGTGTCATGGTCATCCCAAGATGGGCTTCATGGCTGTGCAAGTTTTTGTGTCCCGTTGTTTATTTGGAAAATCTTTCCATCTTTATTTATGTATAGAGAAACTAAAGTTAATGCATTTATATAAGGCTGTCATATCTTGCATGTCAAGACCCTCTGTTGGGCACCACAGAGCAGTGGCTGTCAAAATGTGATCCCTAGACCAGTAGCATCACCATCATGTGGGAACTTGGATGTAAGGCAGATTCTCTGGCTCTGTCCCAGACTTTCTGAAAAGTCTGGGGGCAAGGCCCAACTACCTGATGTTTATCAAGCTTTCTGTGTGATTCTGATGCACACTGAAGTTTAGGAACTCTTGCTATAGACAACATGTGAATAAAACACGAATGCTAGCTTCAAGGAATGCACACTTTGCTTACCCTTGGGTAAGTAATAAGAGAGAGTCATTTACAGCTGGAATATGTATTGTTCTTATGAAAGTGTGCTATCTGAAGTGATTTTATACAATTTATTTAATTCAGCAAATACTAACATAACATGACCGTATGCCAGGAATTGTGCAAAATGCTGGATATACATAGAGTCTAAGTTACACTCAACTGTCATCCCTGGGAAACTAGAGGAGTAGAAAGATAATTCTATAAGCAATTAAAGTTAAATGCATTGTTACAACAGGGAAGTACAAGGTGCTATAGGAGCATCCAGCAGAGTCAGCTGAACAACTCTGGGATCAACAGCGTAAACTTCTCTGGAGAAATGCCTACCAGAGTGACTGGTATTCAATACTTCAATAGGATAGTCCTTAATTTGGAAGTGTTTTTCACTAATTGAGGAGAAACAAATCATGACCACCTTACTCAGTTTTCAGTTATCCATTTAAAGGTTACTCCCTTTAGGTCATCTCTGCTGTGGCTTCTGTGGGAGTAAGAAGAGGACCTAGTATCAATGCCTTTATTCAACAGACCAAGAAACTAAATCAGAAACAGTTAACATGACTTTTCCAAGGTTACATGAATACTTAAGTGTAGCCAAGATGAGATTCTGTTAATTTGCTGCTTATATTAGATTGCCTAATCCAAATCAGTTCCATTTTTTTTAAAAAAAATTAAGCACCTCATACATGCAGACACTGTTGAGAGGTACAGTGGATTTAACTCATGGTTTCTGCCTGCTCCTGCCTGGTAGGACAGATAAGCCAAGTCAAAATATTAATAATACCAGGCAGAATCTAGTAAGTACTGTTTGAATGGAACCAGTAAAAATGCTTCAGAAAGAATTTTTTTGGAACATGCTTGTTGGAAAAAGGGTATTCTCCAAAATGTTATTTATTATTTTTTAAATAACTCTTCCCCAACCCCAACTTGTAATCATCCGAAAAAGGAAGTATATTATAATTTAGGCCCTTTCTGAAATGTCAGGTATTCTAAAATGGTATAATCTAATTGTAAGTTTTATCACAGAAAGATACTACCCTTGGTTCACTGACGGCTCCAGTCTTGAGCATTACAGTTAGTTTCAGTTCTCACCTGGTGGTGAATCACCACCTTTAAGTAACTGCTACACTCCATGTTTTTCTTATAGTGTGGACTGAGGTGACACAATCCGCAGACATCTCTGAAGACCCTGAGGATTGGTCAAGCAACTGTTTCTACTCTGCTGATGATGACGACGACGAAGATAGGCTCCCAATGGTTAGTAATGACATATTAACTTAAAACTCTTGAGGCAGTATTACTGACAAAGTAGGTGGAGCACATAGGAGCAATCATTTTTCAGCATGCTTGAGGTCATTAGGTATATTCTTTGGCCAAAAGAGTTAAAGCAAATCTTTATTACGAACATCCAGTAAACACTTTTTAAAAGTAGAATTTGTTTGAGCTATATGAGAGAACTTCAGAAAACTTGTGGAAAAATGAAGTTAAAGTTCAAGCTAATGTTGGTGCAAAAAAGTTTTTGAAATCCATGCAGAATATTTTAGTAATATCTGTTTTCCATTAACTTTTTGAAGAACCTTCTTCGTAGGTGGAGCTCCTACCGAAATAGACAGTAAATCCTTGTAAGTCTCTATACATTTCCCAGTTTGGGCTTTTTTTTTTTTTTTTTTTTTAATTATTTTACTTAATTTATTTTGCTATAGGGTGCGTGCACTTGCTTGCCAGACAGACAGACAGAGACAGAGAAACAGAAAGCGAGAAATCACCCCCCAGGGGGGATGGCCATGCCACAATCCCTTCTCCTCCATTCACCTCTCGGGATCTTGAGCACGCACGCACATGTGCCTGGCATGAGTTTAAGCCACTGTGTCCGGGACTCAAACCGTGGTTGACTACATGGGAGTCCAGCGACATAACCATTACACCAACTGCTGGTCCCACCAGTTTTGTCTTTAGTTGAGCTTCACCATTGTGTTTTCCATCTGGACATATGAGAGAGAATCTGAAAACAAAGAGCTTCAAGTATACTTTAAAAATTCAGTTTGGAGTCCAGATTGGACAACATAGGGAATAAACATTACACATTAAAAAGTAATAACATCTGGAATGTTGCCTTGCAGAAGACTGCTCCTTGCTGTACTTCAGAGGAAGAGTTGTAAGAGAGGGATAGCATGAATAAATCACAAAACTATACAACATTGACTCTGAAATTAAAATAATTTTGTAATAAATATAAAAAAGTAACATGTTCTTTTTGTAACACTATGATGACCAGGATGCATATTTGTATGATTAGAGGTTACCAAATGATTTCTAAATTCATATTCACAGTTTAGTGTGAAAAAAAACAAAACAAAACAAACTTATTACCTCTGAGTTACAGAGCAGGAATCTGAGGCTCAGAGCTGGTAGACTTTTTTAAGCTAATTGTCTAGACCAGCAGTTTTCAAACTTGTTTTCTTTTTCTTTTTCTTTTTCTGCCACAGAGCACATGTGCTCAACAGAGAGAGTCATAGAGAAAGATAATGAGAGGGAAAGTGAGAAATCACCCCAGGGGAATGGGCACATCATCATCCCTTCTCTTCCACTCTTCACGTGGTATTTTGGGCATACACGTACACATGCCCAGTGTGATTTTTCAAGCCACCAGGTCCAAGATTTAAACAGTGGTCAACCACATGGGAGTCCAGTGCCTTAAGCACCACACCACCCGTTGGCCCCATTTCTCAAACTTTTTAATGAAGAAAGCCTTTACATTCTTAAAACCTGAGAATCACAAAGGACTCTTGATTATATTGCTTGCATCTGTTGATATTTGTTATAAATTAAAACTGAGGAACACAAAATTATTATTTTAAAACATTAATAAATCTATTGTGGGTTTATATAAATATTTTTATTAAAAGGTACATTTTCAAAACAAAAAAAAAAACAGAACAATGGTATTTTAAATACTTGTGTAAATCTCTTCAACATCTGGCTTAATGAAAGACTTGCCGGATTCTCATATCTTCTTTTACGTTCAATCTTTTGTGCTATCAATTTCAGGTAGCCTCTAGAACACTCCCACTACACACTTGCGAGAGGATGAGAGTGAAAAACGCAAATGATGTCAAAGTGTAGGTTTGATTTTGCAGATCCCTTGAAAAGATCTCAGGAACCTCTAGTGGTCTGCCTCCTACACTTTGGGAACCATTGGTTTAGGCTAATAATAAAAAGGAGTTTAATTGCCTTAATTAATACTATCTGAGGATCAAATGGGTAGGGATAATTATTCAGATATGAGCAAAAAGTCAGAGGAAGCCAGTTTAACATTTGCCACAGCTTGTCTATGAAGGGATTGCCAGGAGCTGTCTTGAGTAGAAAATTCCCATCTATGGTGTCAGAAAATAAAGTAAATATGCAAAACTGATTAATGCTTTAATCACAAGAGATGACAATGCAGAGAAACCTATTAGTTTTCCTCTCTTTTCCCCAGTAATCTCCTGAGTTGAGCTACTAAGGAAAGCACAAAAATGAGCAACACAATGCATTTCATACACATTCCCCCACCAGAAATTGAAGTCGGGATGAGCTGTTCTTTTGTCCTCATTTTATCAAGTCAAAACTTGGGAAATAATGGGTGCGGCTTCCCTAGAGACGCGTGTCAGAGACGCTCACCTCTTTTCATGAAGCTACTCTGTCAGATGGCAAGTAGCTCCTTCCTGCCTGCTTCCTGCCTGCTCAAAAGACATTCTGCACAAATGATGTGGGTGTTGTTTTCAGATGAATTCCTTGGACATACAAAGAATCAAGAACACATCATTGTTTCTTTCCTTTCATAAAAATGAATTCTGGTATTTTTTATTTTTAAAACCATGTATTCAATGCGTAAGAAATTGTGCTGGAGAAATTCTCATCTCAATACTTTTGGACTTGAAAATGATTTCTTGTGTACTTTGTAACCAAATGCAATCAGTGTACCTAGGATTATTTAGCTTATTAATTAATTAAGTTATAATTATGGTTGCAAAATGAGTAAGGCCAAATAAAGCACAACATTATGATTTAATATGCTTTTTATTGAATCCAGAGCCTTTGTGCTCGTTATTTTCACCTGTGCAAAATGATACAAGGCTGAGAAGTCCTTTCAGGGGCATTAGTAAATTTTGTTCAGTTACTGCCTTTTGTATGTGCCAAGATAAAATTTTTCAAAGTAGTTTGCAAATAGTATTTGAAAATGAATATTTTCATGTTTTTTCCCTGGATTTATGCTTATAATTCATGGAAATTAAATTAGTTGTGCTCTATTATTTTCCATACATTTCATGCTGTAATTCTCATTTTTCAAATAAAAATGAATTCTTCAGGTTACATAAACATGTTCTGCCTTTTTTTTTCCCTATCACAAACTGCTTCATGTTTGCTTTTGCAAAGCATCTGCAACTAGTACATTTACCACTGAAGTCAAGAGGGAATTCTTTATGTCACAGAGCAGGCAGTTATGTTAGTAGTTTTGCCATTGAGTGTGTAGTGTAATTTTTCAACACAACTTTACAGTCTCCAGGCAAATATAAAGCTCTAGCAGACTGCAGGAAGAGAGGCTCAGAAGACCTCCTGCTTAGAAACGGAGATATCATTCAGCTTCTCCATGAAGATGCTGAGGGTCACTGGTAGGTGCTTTTGCAAAGCCTGTGCTGACCTTCGCTGGGGCCACATGAAGAGCTAATCAGACGTTCTGCTTTATCTGTATCTTTGTTATACAGTCTCCAAAAGCAGAACTATCACAGCGATGGCTTTCATTTTCATTGCCTCAGCCATGCCTATATGTCAATAGCTCACTGAAAGGAATGGTAACCTTTGGTGAGTGAAAGATGCATCGTAAGAATGAAATGCTATGACTTTGCATGTTCTTTTGTGGTTTCCCTTTGGCTTAGGTGTTTCAGTTGATACATCTGGGCTTTGTAATGGCTATTGATCATGTTCTGCTTGGTGATTTGAGTCACTCATTAATCACATATTTAAGGAATGCCTACTAGTATGTTGCAGGTACCATGCTTTGCTGCTTTACAGCATAGCCACATTTCTCCATCAGTTCAAATATTGACTGTTTAGCCTTAGCGTTCTAGCCTTTGGCATCTGACTTTATGTAACACGGATTACAAAGATGTTTATGAGGGAACCCAAAGCAGAAAGGAAAAATTATTCGGAAGAGAGCTGAATGAAACTTCCGTAATTCTTATAGAAATTTTAAATGAAACAATTTTGTCTACATTGTGTCAATAACTTGAACTGAAATACTATATTCACTGTGTACTTTAAAAGGTGGAAGAGTGTACGCATGAGGGTAAAAATTAATAATAGATCATTAAAGTAATAGCCATTTTCCTTAGTAAGCTAAGTCCTTTGTAGCTTATTCAAAGGACTCAAGCACCGTGTCATGAATATCTTTCAACATATGCAATAGCTTTGTAAAAATTTGAGTTGTGGTGTAATGTATTGGTTTTTATTACTTCAGTATTACCATTGTTTGGCTACTAATTCATTTATTGTCTAGGTTGGTGAAAAATCTAAACAGAAGAAAAGAAGGTTTGGTTCCAGGGAACAGTTTACAGATTTTAATTGGTGACTGTAGGTTTCGGAATGTCAAAGTTACAGGTATAATATGAACTGTATTCTATATATTAGAATGCTAAAATGTTTAAAGCTTTACCAAGTATGACATTAGCATAGTGTAAGACTCTGCACTGAGAAATTAAGCTGCAAACATATTATGTTAGCTAGGATTTAAATTTTTTCCTTTAATCATTTTAAATTTGTAGATTTTAAAATAATGTTAAACTTTTTCTTACAATGTCGATAGGCCTAAAAGAGAGTTCAGATACCATAGTATTTCTTTTTATTATTTAAAAAATTACATTTAATCTCTGTACATCTTTACTGAAACATTGGAGGGGATAATGGCAGGGGGGGCAACTGGAGACAATAGAGGAGGGGTAGGTAGTAGGGAGTGGGAAGTGATTAGGGGAAAAAAATAAGCAAAGCATTTAACAGACCCAACCATGAAAAGGTATCCAATCGTGATAATGTATATGGTAATATCTTGACTGATACTCAATGTATTCATGCTGGGAATCTTTTCTCTTTTTTTACAGTTATTTATTTCATTGTTTAATGTATTCATTTACTTATTTTTTAATTTGACCAGAGACAGACACACACACACACTAAGAGAGAGAGAGAGAGAAAGAGAGAGAATGTGAGAAAGCAAGCCACCAGGTCTGGAACTCGAACCATGGTCGGCTATGTGGGAATGTCCAGTGCCTTAACTACCACAGCACCTGCTGGTCCCATGCTGGGAAATCTTATAAGAGATCTCTCAGAATTAAATACTGAGGCGATGCTTTTAAAGTACCAGCTTTACTCTCTAAGAATGCTTTGCCACTTTGTGTTTTTACTTGGATCAAGGAGAATGTTATTTCCTTATGGTAGGTTTCTGCTATATCCCCTCTACACATACATAGACATATACTCACACCTGTGTCTATGCTCAAGACTCGTGTGTGAAGGTGGTATGAAGCAATGAGAAGTCACCCGACGTCTGTTTCTATTAACCCTGTGCTTAGTACATAAAATTTATAGTA